TTTTGCCGCAAGGGGTTTTAGCCCCCCCCCCCCCCCGACCTCGATGGCTCTGCTGTTGCCTCAAGTCCTGGCAGGCCCCGCGCGTGTGCCACTGACGGCAAAATTTTCTGACGGCTGATTTCAGAAGACCCTTTCGGGGAAACAACGCAGAATTTTATCCATGGGATATGGAGATGGCATTCTACATTCATGTCTACACAGGTGTTCAACGACTCTATTTTGTAGAGCAGAACAGTAGCAGCAGTGCAAAAATGTTCCTGTTTGAGACATCTCGATTCACCCTGGTTCCATACTTAAACATCCAGCTACCGTCAGTACAAAACGAAATCAACAAGAAGCAAACAAAAAATAATTTTTAAAAAATCTGATATAACACTTTTTACTATTAACCTTAACTTACCTTATAAACCTACTTTTACCTTTAAGCATCACCCACACCCAAGTGTTAAACTTATCTTTTAACAGCAACCACGTCAAAGTTTTAAACTTACCTTTAAACATTACCACAGCCAAGTGTTCAACTTAATTTTAAACATCACCCACAGCCAAGTGTTAAACTTACCTTTAAACATTACCCACAGCCAAGTTTTTAACTTAATCCTGGTTTGAACTGATCGCAAAAGACAACAACAAAAAAGAAAAAAAAATAATAATAATACAGCCCACAAATTCACAGCACGTGCTGTTAAAGCGATAACACAATACACAACACCGTTTAGAAGTAGGTTACACTGTTGTTTTCCCCCCGTTTATGAATCGAGTCGTACATTCTTTATCACACCAACTCGTCCATTGCCCTTCAGTCACAACGCAATATTAAGTCGTGTGATAGACTCTCAACCACTTGACATCACAATAAATGTCTTCCACGAATTACCTTGTGTGGGTAAGAGGTGTGACGTCACGCCGTTATCTGGCTGTCGATAGTTTCACATGTGTATCGACACGACCCAGACAAAAAAAAAATAAAAAAATTCGTTTCAAACCTACATACACATCTTATGTTTATTGCTTTGCTTGAAGGCAGTGTCGGTAGTGTGGGGTCATACACTAGATATCACAGCAAATGAAATATGGGTTTTACATGGGATGCATGATGGGTTGGTTGATAGTATTCGCATTTCTTTTCTCTTTATTATTTTCTCTACGATTGGGGATACCATATTACAACGATTTTAAATGGTGGTTGATTAATACCAGACGCTGTTGTTCTTAGCGGAATGGATTCGAGTTGAATGGACTCATGTCAGTTTACGTGAAATTATTTGATTTGTGATAACTATAATATTTTTATTTTATTGGGTATGATGACAAAGCTGGTCGAACTTCACTGGACCAGTGCGATTATTATGATCTTGTCTTTAGCCCCATGTGAGTGTAACGGACAGATTAGGGAGTAGATTACAGTTTAATAGACTCTGGGGTGAAGTCAACGTCTACCGAGAGGTCTTTAAATGAGGTAGACATTGAGTTGTGGGTTTTTGATGGAGTAGAGATGTGTTAATACGCCGTCTAAGTCTGAACCAATTATGAAATCCTTCATTTCCGCCGGGTCGCTTTCGTAGTCTGTTCATGTGTCGCTGTCTGTTCATATTTCTAGGTCTGTTCATTCGTCACGTTACAAGGACAACACGTTAGATGTCGAATCAGAAATCATTCATGAAGCTGGCATTAACCATTAAAACCGATGTCGAAGGAAAATTGATGAATTAATGGTATTTGTTGAAATGTAAACCTTTTGTTTATTCGCTGCTCGATATGTTTGTCATCTATAACGTAATATTCGTCAATAAGGATTTCAAACGTTTCAAGAAATACCGCATCTTAACACGTCATTCAACACATGTGTGCATATTACCATTCATTTGACATGATTTTTAGAACTGTGTGATGAACTAATGCTGACTCTGCTTCTTCATGGCATATTGTTCCATGATATTTCTAACATTCATTCCTAACGCAGAATGCTTTTTCGGGTGGACTTCACGGCTAAAACTAAAAGATTTTACCCACAATTTATTGAGAGTGAAATGGTTTTAAATTAATTTTTTTATTCCAACAAAACAATTCTAACCGTTGTAAACCTTTTGTTTATTCGCTGCTCGATATGTTTGTCATCTATAACGTAATATTCGTCAATAAGGATTTCAAACGTTTCAAGAAATACCGCATCTTAACACGTCATTCAACACATGTGTGCATATTACCATTCATTTGACATGATTTTTAGAACTGTGTGATGAACTAATGCTGACTCTGCTTCTTCATGGCATATTGTTCCATGATATTTCTAACATTCATTCCTAACGCAGAATGCTTTTTCGGGTGGACTTCACGGCTAAAACTAAAAGATTTTACCCACAATTTATTGAGAGTGAAATGGTTTTAAATTAATTTTTTTATTCCAACAAAACAATTCTAACCGTTGTTAGCGATGCTATCAAATATCCAGTAGTTGTATTCTGATATCCTTATGAAAATATCTGGTATAAAACCCTTCTTGCAATCCGTGTGACGATTGCACAGCAATCCGACTAGATAAAATTTTCCACCCACTTGACAAGTCAGTGGGTCTCCTATTTCCCCATCGCACGCCCCGCTGTCCTGAATCTCCGTGCACAGATTTCGCTTATCGAAGAAAAATCCAACCACGTTCCAAGTGAAGGTACACCAGTCTTGACGCATCACGCGAACCGCCTTATGCTGCAGGAAGTCCGGGAAAGCTCTTGACGCGTTCGAGGCGAACCCGAAACCGGTGACGAAACAGCTCACGTTCCCCTCGGGATCTATCTCGTCCAGGGGCAGGCATATCGGCTTGACGTGTTCGGTGAAAACCACAGGCGAGTCCAGTCTGAGCAGCGCGATGCTGTCGTGCTGCGTGCGCGGGTCGTACTCCTCATGAACCACTATCTTCTCAACCGTCCGCACCTGGTTGAACGGCGTGACGCTCAGCTTGAGCGGCCCCAGGTACACCTCTGACACCTCCCTGGCGCAGCGAGGCACCGTCAGGACCCAGTGGTCGGAGACGAGGACGCCTGCGCAGTGGTAGTCGGTCCCGACGATGACGGCATGCCACGGCCAAGTCTTCTCCGCGGCGATTTGGCCCAGACCGGTCGCTTGCTCATGGCTCAATGCCCGGACGCCACACTCGAAACCCCTGAAGGGATTAACGAAGTTGTCGACGTGCAGGACGCGGTGCGGCCTCTGAAATGGAGCACCGATGTAATCGTTGTACTTCCTCTGGTACAACCCGATGGCGAGCTTCTTTCTGTTCACTGCCCAACACAACATTTTACAGCCCTTGCCTCGGCACGACGGGTTCAAGGTGTTCTGGAAAAAAAAAAATCAAATGTTCTTAAAGTAAACAGACAAGTTTGGTAAAAATGGTATATTTAATTGTATTATTATGCTTTTCAATCTAAAGTTCCGAATTACAACATATGTATTAGTTTGGTAAAAATGGTATATTTAATTGTATTATTATGCTTTTCAATCTAAAGTTCCGAATTACAACATATGTATTATATATATATATATATATATATATATATATATATATATATATATATATATATATATATAAAAATATATATATAGATATAATCCCCATATACAGAATCTAAACAAATATATATCTATATATATATATATATATATATATATATATATATATATATATATATATAAAAACATCTTTATAGTGATAATCCCCATATCCAGAACCTCAACAAATATATATCTATTTATATATGTATCTATATCTATATCTATATATCTATATATATATATATTACTATAAACACTTGAAAAAAAAATTATATACATTTGATAAATATATATGTATATATATTTTTGTTGAGTTTGGGGCTGTGGTGAGTATCACTTAAATAAAGTATATTTTGGGTTGATAAGAATAAATTATATTGTTACATAATATTCATGATAAGGCTAGAAATAGGATTAATATCCATTTTTATTCGTTTCTAATAGGTTTTACTTTATGATCTTTCAGTCATAAAATGTATGACATATTTATTTTTTTTCCTTTTTTGTTGAAAAATTACCATCTCTTTAGTCGATACGAAATAATTGCAAGTAAGGTTAAACTTGTTAAGAATCATGGTTTGATCGGCTCCTAGGATTTGTATGTTTTTTCTCGTAGAGAATCTTAGAAATTTGGCAAACAAAAATCATCTTTAATATATCAATTGTTTTTTAAATTTATTTTTGAAATGAAACAAAACTGGGAGCTTCATCAATTAATGTGTGATTTATTTAAGCTGTTAACAAAAATAATTTAATGCAAACCTGCCTCCGATTTTCATCGATTTCTTTTTTTAACGAATTCATTTTGTAAAATTGTAAACGAAAAATTACCTGGCATTTAAATTTTTTTTTCGCCCGAAAATTCCAATTTAGTGGGGGGGGGGGGGGGGGGGGGTTAGGGGGAAAATAGTTTAGGGACCGCATTCAAGCATTGTCCAGAGGAAATAGTGGAATAAAATATGTCTAGGCTTAAATTTTTTTACATTTTTTTAAATAAACAAAAAGAAAACAAATGACAACTGTTCCGAACTTTTCATTTCAAGCTTAAACATATATCGCTCGTTGCACCCTATCCTGTCTTATTTGACCAGTTGTAAATTAAATTTGAACTCTAGCTTGTTACTTAGTTGACAAAGGGCAAAGGGTTCTAATATTACCTAAAATACAATGCAGATAACGTCGGGGAAAAAAATATTGTTCTGGTAGAATATTATACTTCACTTTATTACGAGTTTGACCAGCGGTTCTCAAATTGTGGGTCACGACCCCTTTAAGGTTCGAACGACCATCGGAAAACACACGGTCATCACAACATGAGAGACTGTATTTAAGGTGTCCAGGCTTTAGGCAGGTGAGAACCACTGAGTTAAGCTATTGGTGAGACATTATGAAAGTTCACTGACGTCTGGTCAATAGAATTACAAATTACTGCCTTACCAGCGCCATTAATCCTGTGATGAAGATTATGATCGGCAGTGATATCACAGCCCCAAATGACATCGTCATGAGTCACAAAGGTTTTCCATTTTTTATAAAAACAAAATAATTAAAGTAAATGTATTCATAGGTAACTTCTTTTTTTTTTTTTTAAAATACGATTTTCAACTAAAGACTAATTGTTTTCATAATTTTTGGTTCACATTTCCTATTTCATTGGTGGTGTCGCACGGTGCACTTAATACTTGATGTAATTTCTTGGAGCTTAAAGAAACGTTATTTCTTAATATCTAAACTAATAATTAAACAACTCCTGAAAGCAAATTTTTTGGCATAAACCATTTATATACATTTTTATTACATTATCTTGTATTAATATTCTAATGTCCCTTACACTTTTATACCGCAGATTGTTTTGTCCAAGTATTATTATACAAAGGTACAAAACGTGCATGCTATATATATATTTTTAAAAAAATCTCATTTAAAGCAGTTATGGGGAATTTTTATTTCATGAAATCAGTGGCATCATATGTCCTTCACCTTTCCCTTGAAAAAATGAAAAACTGATTTGTTGGAGGCTGGGATGGAGGGATGGGGCTGAAAATTTGAAAGCGTTTGTTGTTGACGAGTCTATGTGACACATTTCAGCTCGTTAGGTGTACGGAAAGTTGTTCAAATAGCCGCACGAAAAGTTTAACCTAAACGCAGAAAAGCGAAAGAAATATACAGGACTTAAAAATATAATGGAACCAACTGGACAATGCCGCCGTGGACTCGAAATCAAATCGCGAGTTTCAAGGCTTTCCCTGGCACCCGCTAGGAGCCGTTAGGATAGCCGTATTGTTTCCCAAAACCGCTGCTCGTATGCCAGTACTTGGTTTGCAGCAACTTAGTCTGAACCCATTGTAAACAATGCCGCTGCTCCAGCAAACCAGAATTAAAAAAAAATTTAACACAACAAAAAAACAAAACAATATATATATATATGATATGTATATATATATATTATATAATTATAACTTTTTGTTAAGTGTCTATTAATAAAATCTAATAACGGTAACCTAAGGAATTATTTATAAGGTCTTTTTTTTCAACAATCAATGAATAAATTAACTCAATTAAAAATTTTAAAAGTTATGCCACACAAAAGGTCTACTTCGGATTCTGAGTTTAAAACATTTTTAAAAATCACATTGAAAAAAAAAAAAAAGCTTTTTAAATAAAATGTTTATTTAAATCCATACTTATGGATAGTCGTAAAAATCCAGTGTTCGTACTGAGAAACCCGAGTGTAGACGTCTGGGTGGAACCTGGCGTCGCAATGTCCATAAATAAAACTGGCCACGCCAGCGGCGTAGTACCGCCCATCCATTTCACAGGTCAGGGGTCCGCCAGAATCCCCAAAACACGCGCCCCGGCTCGACCTGGTCTTGTCCGTGCAGATGTTCCTCATGTCGACGTCCTTGGCGGACAGTTTCCACATGTACACGCAGATGTTCTGCGGCAGGACGTCCACTCTCGTAAACTGCAAAACGTGATGGCCCTTGACGGCTTTGGGGCTGGTCCTGCCCCAGCCCGAAATGAAGCAGGGGTACGACGTCTCGAAGTCCGCGCCAGGTTTCGGCAGGCAGGCGGGCCTCACGTAGTCGTTTATCTTGACCGGACTGGCCAGCTTCATTAAACCGATGTCGTCGGAGTCCGAGTGTCCGTTGTAGAGCTTGTGCTTCGCGTACACGGCGACGTCCTTAGACTGCCAGTTGGCCTTGGAAGATTTGTAGTTGGTCACCCCGAGATGCACGCGAGACACGTTCCTGAAGCAGTGCGCGGCGGTCAGGACCCACGAGGTGGAGATGAGAACCCCTCCGCATTTTGATCTGCCGCTGACGATCAGGGCTTGCCACGGGAACGCCTTCGGGTGCGCGTTGGTGCCGCCGACGATTGCCGTGAGAGGATCGACGGCCATCGTACCGCATTTCAGATTGTCGAATTTTTTCCGCAAATACTTAACGTCCCCGTACACCGCCGGCTTATTGTGCGGAAATCTCCGAAACATGTGATACATGTGCTGGAGCTTTTCCAGGCTTTCTTCTTTCTTTGGTATGCCATGACAGACGCGAATCGTTCTGTTACAGCCGACAAGCGCAGTCATGGTATTCAAATAGATCTGTTACAAAAGATGGGTAGAAAACAACATGGATATCACTGTGAACTGCTTACATTTCTTTAGCAGTATTCTTTAAATTCCAAAGTGATGTGATTCTCTGGTTAGTTCTTATTGCTAATAATATGTTAAGTGGTTCTTGTTTTTAAAGAACACATTGAAAAGTCAAATGAATACTGTAAGCAAAAATTAACCGCAAAGCAGTTTGAAAGTTTAAGGAGAGCTGTAAACTGATTGCGTTTGTCAAGGAGCGGTTGGAATGGAATTCATTTGTGTAGTGCAACTCTTTTGATGCCATGCGTCATCTTTGTTGCGGTAGGACATTTATGAAGGTGTAGGGCACCTTTGGTGGGTAGGACATCTACGAAAGGGTAGGACGCCTGTGGTGGGGTAGGACATCTATGGTGGGGTAGGACACATGTGGTGAGGTGAAAACCTCTAGTGGGGTAGGACATCTATGAAGGGCTAGGACACCTGTTTTGGGTAGGACGTCTATGAAGGGGGTAGGACACCTGTGGTGGGTAGGACAATTATGATGGGGTAGGACACCTGTAATGGGTAGGGCATCTATGATGGAGTAGGACACATGGTGAGGTAGGATACTATTTTGTGGGATAGGGCAACTATGGTGGGGTAGGACACCTGCAGTGAGTAGGACATCTAGAGTGAGGTAAGACACCTATGGTGGGATAGAAAACCTTTGATGGGTATGTCACCTTAGATGGGGAAGGACATCATCTATGAGTGTGTAGGACACCTCCTGTGGGGTAGGACATCTCTTTGTAATATCTAAAAACAAAAATCTCATCGGCTTTCAACTCTTTACATATATATAAATCATGAGTCCGTTGTCTTACCAAGAGATGCAGAAAGGACCCCACACAAGACATCATTACGTCCGTAAGTAAACTACAGTGAATTAGACCATTGTCGTCCAATGACATTTGTTCCGGTAGTTTTCTCAACTATATTAAAGCATCGTTTGTGCAACTCTCACAGTCAATTGTTTTTGCAGCTGCAAATTGTCAGATGAAAAAAGGTTAACATTGTTCATGCAATCTATTTCTTGTCTCTTCATTAGCTCAAGTAGACTCCTAGCTAATTATACTCCGACAACCTGAAGTAGAATATTAATACGCTTGGCGTAACACCAGACGGCATTGTTCTTGTTTGCTGATTGGCTGACACAGACATGACGAGGTGCACCAAAATTAATAAATAATGATAATGGGTGTGACATGAATTGTCTCATTGACAGAAATAGAATTGTATATAATAAAATGTTTACGTGCAAAAGCGCAGAAAGAGTCCTATCAGACTTTTTTTTACCGTTTGATGCACCATAGATGCTGATGACTGCATTCGTGCTATCACGCATGGACTACTGCAATGGTCTCCTGATGGGTCTTCCGACTACGCTCCTGGATTAAATTCAAAAAGCACAGAATAATGCGGCTCGCATTGTTCTGAGCAAACGCAAATTTGACTATGCTGAAACACTTCTGAGAGAGCTGCATTGGCTGCAGGTCCACGCTCGCATAGTGTACAAAACTCTGTGCTACCGCTGCTTGCATGACCTGGCATCGTCCTATCTCAAAACGCTCACCACGCCTTATGTACCCACTAGGCAACTCCTCTTAGCCGATAGATGCAAACTATGGATACCGCGAGTCCGCCTTGAGCCCCACGGAAAGCGCACTTTCGCTTTTGATGGTCCAAGAATCTGGAGCGCTCGTCCTGTCGCTCTCAGAAACAGCCAGACATTGCAGTCTTTCAAAACTGATTTGAAAACACAACTTTTTCGCTTTCGCCTGCTAGGGTAATGTGGTCCTTGTTTCCAGCTTGCTCATATTCCTCGATGTGTATTGGCTTGTGTCTTTTGGCTTGTTTGTAGGTTTTTTTATTGGTGCATTTTGTATTTTAATGTGGAAAATACATAAACTGTCATATATGGTGGACTTTGAACCGCGCTTCGAGCTTTATTTAGGGATGAAGCGTGTTTTTGACATGACCTTTATGATTATTATTTTTATAATTATATATATTTTGCCAATCTGACCATTGAAATGTAATGTCCCCATGTGCTATCACACTTACCACAGATAAGTGAGGGACAATGACATATGCATACAAATCTCTTATAGTTGTTTCATCTATGAAAATCTTGGAGGCCTGTGCTAGATTTCCAAAAAATTCATTACGATTCTGACGCGAAATCATTGTATCACGTACTCAAAAAATTTGGAAACAATTATTTGGTGCCAATTGGTGCCATTTGGTGCGACGTTTAAATAATACAAATCTTGACAATTCTGTTTTATTGTTGATATGAAATGAAGCCCTGGAGCCAGTTATTCGGTAGCGTTACAGGTAAGAGGGGGAGGGGGGAATGTTGATGTATGTCATAAGAAAATTCTTAGAAGCAATATAGGTCAATAATTAAAATTTAATTAATTTTTTTTATCGAATAACGCAACATAATTTAACCGACGCAGTACATCTCTTTCTCTGTCTCTCTCTCTTTCACTTTCCCTTTCTCTCTCTAGCCTCATATGTATAACTAATTAAATAAATCTAGATATTACATATAAATATAAATAAATTAATTAATTAAAAATACATAAATAGATAAACATCAATAAACAAATAAATAAATATACAGAGAATAAGGGAGATAGAGAAATATTATACCTCATTTTCTGTTTCGGGTTGATTCTGAAGTGTCAAAGTGTCCTCGTTTTATAGCCATTTTCATTGTTTCTATAGAATAGTAGTTACTATCCTAGTGTCTCATTTGTATTTACTTAGTTTACATGTTTTAATAATTGTAAAGCGCTTAGAGCTTTATGATAAGCGCTATATAAAAATGCCTAA